GCTTTTAGGAATTACTTTTTAGCTCGCATTCAACAATAAAGCCAAAGAGATTGGCTGCAGCTTTTATCCCTTCTGATGGAAGCAGAGCATCCCCGGTGACAGCATTCATTGGCTGAATTCAAATTATATAGTTTAGTTTGATAACCATAACTAAAAAAGCATATAAACTTCGACTTTCAATTGGAAAAATGCTTATGCCATATTAATCAACTTCCATTTTGACTAACAGTGACGAAATTGCAGCATTCATTTAGCTTTGCAAAATGTAAAACTTTCATGCATTAATTATAAGAAATAATAACAGGCTTTACTAAATTACTAGGCATTACATTTCACCACCACCCCAAAGACGGCATAACATAGAAACACGTCCAAACAAAATTAATTAATGCAAATCAAATTGCATCTGAATAGATACCATAAGAAGGGCAGTCCACGTATCCAATAAGACATCACGTGCTTCCCAGCTCCAAGTTTCCTCTTCTGTGTTGCTAGTCATGAGGACTTTAATTACTTCAGACATCAGCATTGACAGAAAGGTCAGAGTGCCAAAGGACCTAAAGTATCAAAGGGAGAAAGCTTACCCATGTCAATCAATTATGAGATAAATACCGACTACGAAAACTACAATTATGAGGATGCTAACCTTATGGATTTTAGGAGATTGTCAAAAATGTATGGAGTTGTTATACTCGCAATGGCCAATAAGGCACGGCAACCATCAATCATCTCACTGAAATCAAAACAATGAGAAGGTCAGATTTTAATAGTAAATAACAATAAAATTATACTACTACTATGGTGAGGTGGTTGTGTGCGCAGGTCCAACTGGCATTTTAAGGAGATAGGGAACTAAAAGACCTTTCACTCTTCCCATCTTCAATTGCCTTTGAAACAACATCAGGAGGATCTACCCACTCTATTATCCCAGATAACAGTTGCAGAAGATGATGCTCATGCATTTTCACATCATCTAGATCATGGAACAAAGGCACCCAAATTTAGATTTAGAATTGGAATTATTGGAAAAGGGAGTAATGCAGAAAAGCAAGTCAGAGTGCCTAATCAAGGATCCCTGCTTAGCAATCTATGTAATTAAGCAGAACCTAGAGTTATGGTAGCAGTTGAATTGTTCAACTTCAAAGCTATAAACATAAAAATCAATTTTAAGCTGTGAAATTATAGTCCTGAACAATATTCAACTCTAGAAGCATATAATCTAGAAATAAAACCTTATCCTCTATGGCTGTATTTATATTCATCAGATGATAATTCTTAAACAACATCGAGTTCGTAGAAGAAAGATTTAAAATACTCATCAACTAAAATATTGTTTTGATGAAATAAACAAACAACTAATGAAATGTGGAAAAGGAAACCATTATACCAGAAGCAAATAAAGTTCCTGTCAAGGAGCAAAATTGTACAATTAGTTTTCTTGCAGAGGCAGAAATAGGGCTGTCAGGCCGGCGGCCTTCACATGAAAATTTCTGCCTCAATGCTGCATATAAGTTCAAAAGCCATCCAACATGACCACTTAACAATAAAACATCACGCCAAGCTGGACCTGGCTGCAAATAGCATCAGAGAAGGGTGAAGTATCATCAGTAGGGATCTATGGATAAAATTTCTAATAATGAAAGCAGGAATTTTCATGCCTAATGACCAGCAGTAAACCATCTGTCACTATTTGTTACTTTATCAACTGAATTTTCATAAACAAAACAAATCTATTACCTGCACTAGGCTACATTCAGACCTTCTCAAAGAATCCCCATCTTGCCTAACTCCATCGGAGAAGACATTCAGACCGGCTTTTGCCTCACCAGTATTGTAATGAAAATCCCAGTTCAGGATTTGAAGCATGAGATGCAATGAAGCAGTGCAAACCTTAACCTCAGGCACAGCAGAGTTAGATTCAACAATCCTATTTGTGACCTTGGAAGCAGCTTCTTGTGCCCAACAGTAGAACATCTATTATTAAGGCAATGTAAAATAAATAAATAATTGTGGACAAAAAGAATGGTCACATTAATACAAAACCAAAGAAAGACGTCCAAGAATAAAGACCATTCTGAAAGGAAAACTTCAATTAACTGAGAAAATCTGACAGCATAATGCGGGAAGAAGAAAACAGAAACTGGAAGGACCTTTAGGTAGTCTAGCTCAAGAGACCTCCTGCACTGCTCATGAAATTCCCTTGGAAGACCCATGACACTTGAGGTAGATGGAGAAAATTCTGATACCTATAAACAAAATATTCATAGCAAAATCAAGGGGGGAAAAAATTAAATAGCTGAAGCAGTAAATGGTACTGAAGACCTGGCCAGGAAAAAAGAAAAAGAAAAAGGTTGAAAACTGTATACTCTGCATTTTGAAACAGGAAATGATTATAGGTATTTATAGCTACACAGAATCAAAGGAGATTAATCTTCCTTATAAAACAGAGCCTCAAACAAAAATAAAAAATAAAAAAGGGCAAGATAACAGCTATAATACAATTAATACAAACGAGTTCACAATAAACATTTGGCTATCTAATAAAGGAAATATCCTTCTAAACTCAGGACTGATTACAAGGGAATCTGTTGTCACTTATTTATTTGGCGACAAATAAGCTAAGGCTGATAATTAGAGCCTCTTCTATGAGGAATGGAAGAGGAAAAAAGGGAAATATGACTAATTTCCTAGGCCATTGTAGCTGGAAATAACAGGAAGTGACAAGAAAATGGAAACAGAAACTCTTTGCTTGACTTTTCAAAGGTCGAGCACTCTTCCATAACTCCCCTGCCAAAACATAATTCTTCCTTGCCATCCCAGTCTCACTGCACCAAACCCTAGGAAATATGATAACCAGCAGCTGCACAGAAATTGGTCCATTTGCATAATGGGCTTGATATTTTGCCAGCCGCCTCATTTGCTCCTCTCGATTTCTTCAATACGTCTCAAACAGAGCAGCAAAAAAAAAAAAAAAGCAAGATAACAGCTATAATGCATATCAATGAACACCAAATGAACAGTTGGCCATCTGATAAAAAAAAATCCTTTTAATTAATCTCAAGATTGATGATGGAATCTCAGGATTTTAAATATGCTACAACAAAGTTTTATGTACCAATGATTCCAGGAAGTTGATTCCAGCAAACTGCACATCTAACCCATGAATCCCTATGATCGCCTGGTTCACCTGCAATTTATGAAATTCTAAGCATACATGAAAAAGGGAAGTTGGAGTTCAAAATAGAAACTTTGACTGAAAATGTAACAAAAAATTGAGGGGCAGGAAAAAGAAAAATATGCAAACCAAATATAATGAAGAAAACAGATTAACAGAGCAGCCCTAATGCAGACAAGAAAACCACTTAGGGTTTTGGAATTAAAGACAGTTGGCAAATGGGAACAAATTGGGATCCAATGAGGTGCAGATAAGATACTATGGGAATATTTGGTATTTATTATAAATATTGTATAATCTTTATTAGGTTTCATTAGACATTATTAGTAATTATTTCCCCTTGTGTATATATAGTCAGCTATTCTAATCAAAGAGAAATATCATTTTCTCTTAAATTCTACATGGTATCAGAGCAAATGATCCAGTTCGTCATTAGGGTTTTCTAGGTTATGGTTTGTGCAAGGAATTGTGTAAGTGTGTGTTTCGTTTTCAGTTTACATCTAGCAAAAGCACATTTGGAGAGCCAACTAATTGTTGGATTTGGCAAAAACACATCCAGATGTAATTTGAATGTGCTTTTGAAGGTTACCCAAACAAGCCTTGAGGTGTTCTGTATAGCACCCTAAGGCTGTGATGCAGGTACTATTCAAGACCATTATGGCTCTCACCACCCCCCTAGGTGTGTTCGGGCCGCAACTCCCCTTTCCAACAACGCAAACCCTTTTCCAGCAAGATCCAGACCTCATCCATGTTTGGGCACTCTTTCCTCGACATTTGTTTATCCTTACAGTGTGTTTAAGGGTTTGTTTGAAGGAGTCTGGAGTGCTCTTGGGATGTGGCTACTGATTCTTCTCTATTATATGGGTTTCATCTCATGGGAAGCCTTAAGAGTAGTTATTTGAACTCTCCTAAATATTCTGAAAAAGGTGACCAGATATGGGACCATAGTATCAGCGGCTAAATATAGGCCTAAAGCAACAATTGCCAAAAGAGGAACGTTTGCAATGCTATAGTCTGGATTGTTGATTCAGGGGCCTCCGAACACATGACTTGTTGTCATGAGTTGTTTACTACTTACACTCCATGTGCTGGAAATGTTAAAGTCAAAAGGGAGTATTCAAATTTCTGATTCTATAGTGTTGGCATCTATTCAAATTTCTGATTTTATAGTGTTGGCATCTATCCTTCATGTGCCTAAAATTGATTATAACTAACTTTCAATTAGTTAATTGACCATCCAATCAAATTGTTATGCTAAATTCCTCCCATCTCATTGTGTGTCTTAGAATCTATCTGTTAGAAAAGGGCCTAAGGCACTATAGGCCCATATCAAGATTAGACCAATTTTCCCTTATTTAAATATGATCTGCTATCTGTTATTAATATCTAATTTTCTCTCTTATCAGCATCTGATGTGATTTGCCAAGATTATAAGAGAGATATTAGTGATTTGTGTAGATTCTCTTCCTCTCATCTCTTCTATATATATATGTAAATGCTTCTTTTGAATAAAATATCAGTGCTGTTCTACCCTAATCATAACATGGTATCAGAGCCTTAGTCTGTGATTAATGGCATATAGGGCAACTCTAACAAACTAGCCGCGAGTCTTCACCACTGGCGACGGCACAATATCGTTGGCCAACAAAGACTTACAAGGTACCGGTTTGAACAAGCATAGCATGAACTCTCCCTTTGGGATGTTGAGTTCAGGGAACGATTCAATCTTGCAAGCTATGATCATTCATCATCTCAATGGCACAACTACCTCTAATGGTCACGACATATTCTGATGTTTGTTCAAGGAAAGAATCATGAGAAATACCTCATAGAGAATCCTCTAGCAATTACAAATGCAACGTTTGAGTCCTGGTAGGCAAAAAACAATATGGTTATGGCCTAGCTCATGAATTCTATGACTATCGAGATTGGCAAAAATTACCTATTGGCAACTACAACCAAAGAAATATAGGAATCTGTGAAGCGCACCTACTTAGTCAAGGAGAACACAGCTGCCATTTTTCAAGTGAAGCGATTACTTTGAAATCTCTTGCAAGGAGAGCACTTTGTCACTCAATATTACAGTGCTCTCATGAGGCTATGGCAACAAATAGATATTTACGAGGTCTATAAATGGACTTGTCAGAAAGATAGGGAATACTACAGAAAGATTGTTGATCAAGAAAGGTGCTATAAGTTTCTACTTGGCCTCAATGACTCCTTTAAGGATGTTCAAGGATGTATAATGGGCATGAGGCCTCTTCCATCACTAGAAGATGCCTTTAACATGCTCAAATGTGAAGGAAGTCGAGAGATTTTGACTCAAGGACATTCTAAGCCTTCGTCTACTTCACTCGAAGGTTCTGCACTTGCTGTCAAATGAAATTAAGGAGATATGAAGGGGAAGAATTCTGGTAGGTATGATCACTGCAATAAAAACGGACACATGGCAAGCCTCAGAATTTCAAATAGAAAGGCAAGGGACTGTCAGTAACCACAACAAATGCTGAAACTGGGGGATTAAGTACTAAAGAGCTACTAGTCTTAAGGAAAGTTCTGGAGAAACATTCTGCATCTGCAAAAATACGTGAGAATAATACTCCTTTTGTGACTATGGCACAAGCAGGTACAGCTTTTACTCAAACTCTTAATAGCATAAAAAAATCCAACAATATTTTGATCATTGATTCTAGGGCATTTGATCATGTAATAGGTTTTAGGAATCTGTTTTCTGAATTTAGTGAATTTTCTAAGCATGAGACTGTTGAAGTTGCAAATGGACAGTATGCTGAAGTATTAGGATCTAGTACTATGAAAACCTCTGAAAATATTGTGTTGAAGGATGTGTTATATGTACCTGAGATTAAGTGCAGCTTACTGTCTGTAAAATGTGTGGCATCTTAATTAAACTGTCGTGCTATTTTTGACAAAAATGGGTGTGATTTTCAGGACTTGGGCCTTGGGGAGGATGATTGGCAATGCTAAGGAGAGGAAGGGGCTCTACTATATCCATGAATCTCCATCAAATAAAAGTTATGGTTTTTTTCCTGTTATGTCTCACGAAGACTTGATGTTATGGCACTCTAGGTTAGGCCACCCTAGTCCACATTATTTGCAACTTTTATTTCCAAATATCAATAAAAAGTCAGTTTCTAAATTTCATTGAGACTTGCCATTTTGCTAAACAAGTTCGAAATTCTAATCCATCCCACAAATATACACCAAGTCACCCTTTTGCTCTCATCCACAGTGATGTTTAGGGTCCATCCAAATTTGAAACAAATTCTAAAACAAGATGGTTTGTAACATTTATTGATGATCGTTCTCGCTTGACTTAGGTATTTCTAATGAAAGAACAATCAAAAATTTTCAATATCTTCAAAAACTTCTACGCCTTTGTTCAAAATCAGTTTCAGACTTCCATAAAAATTCTTCGAAGTGACACTGGGAGGGAATATGTGAATCTGAATTTTCAAAATTTTTTGAAAGAAAAAGGCATACATCATCAAAAATCTTGTGTTTACTCACCTCAACAAAATGGTGTGTCTGAAAGAAAAAACAGACATTTACTTAAAGTAGCTAAAGCTATTATGTTTGAAAGTAATGTTCCAAACAAATTTTGACGGGATGCTATTCTTACATCTACTTATCTCATAAATCGCTTACCCTCCAAAACTTTAAATTTTGCCACACCCTTTCAAAAGTTTTCTGAATATTTTCCTAACTCTCCTCTTACTACCAACATCCCTCAAAAGATTTTTGGGTGCACAGCTTTTGTTTATAATGAAGGAGTAGGAAAATTGGATACTTCAGCCATAAAACGGGTATAAATGTTTTTTTTCTATCACCAATAAAGTATATGTGACCATGAATGTTCACTTCCTTGAAAAAAAAAAAACCTTATTACTCCAAATCACCCATTCAGGGGGAGAATACTGAGAATAAATGGCTGATTTGTAATGATCATCATAAATATTCCAAATTTGGACAGAAACAGGATGTTCCCCATATATCACTAGATGACACCTTTGAACATACTGACTTCTTTGATTCTACAGCCTTACCTTAATATACTAATGTTTCACCAAGAATCAGTTCATATCCTCACTAAACAGACTCTAAAAATTCTGGAAATTCCCAAAACAGATCAGATTTTCAGGATATTAATCCTTTTGAACCTCTTAGCCTGTTCCTTGATGACCTCGAAACTAGGGTGGAGGAACCTAATCATGCCAGCGAACAGAACCATAACAGAGAAAGAGCTGAACTCATTTCTATTCCGATGCAAAGCCATGACTTCACACTTGAGGTAAGTTTTGAAGACCTATAATGGCCTATTGCTCTTAGAAAAGGGAAGAGGAGTTGTACCCAACATCTCATTGCAAGGCATGTTTCCTATAAGAAACTTTCTCCCCATATGAAAACATCTGTGGTGAATGTTGAACAAGTGAAAATTCCTAATAGTTTTTAAGAAGCTATCACTGATCATAAATGGAAGTAGGCTATAGATGAAGAACTAAGGGCACTTTACAGGAATGAAACTTGGAAGATCACCAACTTGCCAAAGGGAAAATCTATTGTTAGCAGTAAGTGGGTTTTCACTGTGAAATATAATGCTAATAGAAGTATAAACAAACATAAAGCCAGATTAGTTGGAAGGGGTTTCACTCAGACCTATGGTATAGACTAGGGGTGCACATGGGCAGGGCTGGGCTGGGCTGGGCAAGACCTTGCCCGATGCCCAGCCCGAAGAATGAATGGGCTGCAAAATGCAGCCCGATGCCCAGCCCTGCCCGCAAAAATGCCCTATTAGTTTTGGCAGGGCAGGGCTAGTTAGGCCGCTTTGAGCCGCCCAACCCATCAAATAATTGCCCTGCTCATAAAATAACAACTCTTCTCACCATTTCAAAATAAAACTATCATAAATTAATAATAATAACCCTATATATCAACTCAAAATAGCATCCATAAAATCATAAACCATAAATCCACGATAACAGCCACAATATTCAATTATCCATAATTCAACATCTAACTTAAAATCTAAAACTACCACAAGTCTTGGCACAATATCAAATTATCCATAATTCAATCCAAAATAATTGCTATAATCCAAAATAACAAAAGCTTGAAGCATCATATGAGAAACAACAATTTCAAAAAGTAGGCTCCAATTCACAAAAAACCTCTTCCCAATTCCCAACTTGCATGAATGAAAGAGGAAAAATATGTCATAACTAAATAGAAAAATTGCAAGAACATACATGAAAATTTAAAGCAAAATAGGAACCAAAATATGAGAGAATTAACAACAATAATATATAAAAAAAATTAGTAAGAAATCATAGAAAAGTTAGCAAGAAATTAATAAAAAAATTAACAAAAATTAACAAAAAAATCACAAAAATCGGGCTGGCTAAACGAGCAGGGCTGCATGACTTGCCTGCTGCCCGGCCCTGCCCGCACATTGCCCAGCCCAAAAATGTACAGAACATTTCAGGCTTTTTTTTTGGGCCGAGCTGGGCAAAAAATAACCAAGTTCGGGTAGGCATACCAGGTAATCGGGCATCATGAACACCCCCAGTATAGACAACCAAGAGACCTTCTCCCCTGTGGCCAAACTCAACTCAGTTGAGATCTTATTATCACTTACTACTAATCTAGATTGGCCACTTCACCAATTGGATGTTAAAAATGCATTTTTAAATAGTGCTCTAGATAAGGAAGTATACATGTAGATTCCTCTTGGTTTGAGAAATTCTAAAAACTCTCATAAAGTTTGCAAGTTGTACAAGTCGCCATATGGATTAAAGCAGTCTCCAAGAGCTTAGTTTGACCAATTCTCTCAAGCTATCAAGTCTTGGGGATACAAACAATGCCAAGCAAATGACACATTGTTTGTCAAGCATTATGGAGAAAAATTAACAATCCTTATTATTTATGCGGATGACATCGTGTTGACAAGGAATGATGTGGAAGAAATCACTAAACTAAAGGGAAATTTGGTAGCAAAATTTGAGATTAAAGATCTTGGTCCCTTAAGATACTTCCTGGGAATGGAAGCGGCAAGAACACAAAAGGGGATTAGTGTATCACAACGGAAATACACTCTAGATTTATTAAAGGAAATAGGGATGTTGGGAGCAAGGCCTGCACATACCCCAATGTAACTAAATCAGAAGTTGACAATTAAACCAGATGGCACAGCAATAATCAAAAAAAGATACCAGAGGTTAGTGGGAAAACTGATTTATTTGTCTCACACAAGACCTGACATATGCTTTCCAGTTAGTGTTGTGAGTCAATTCTCTAGTGCTCCTCAAAAGGAACATATGATAGCAGCTTACAGGATTCTTAGATACTTGAAGCAGACTCCTAGACAAGGACTATTTTTTGCAAATAATATCATCAGAAATGTTGAATTATTCACTGATACAGATTGGAGAGCCTCAAAGAGTGATAGAAGATCAACTAGTAGGTATTGTTCCTATATGTAGGGAAATTTAGTGAGCTGGAGGAGTAAGAAGCAACTAGTAGTGTAAAAAAGTTCAGCAGAATTAGAGTACTGAGCCTTATCATTAGGAATGTGAAGGGATGTGGATCATTCGTCTCTTAAAGGAATTAAAGACTGATCCGAATGGTTCGATGAAGGTATGGTGTGATAATATGCCAGCCATAAAGATCGCTAACAACCTTGTTCAACATGATTGCATGAAGCATATGGAAATTGATAAACACTTCATCAAAGAAAAAATTGAATCTAAAGGGATAGATCTATCTTATATTATGACCAAATCCTCGACCCAAAACAAATTTGAAGGACTCAGAAGCAAGCTAGGAATGATTAATATCTATTCACCAGCTTGAGGGGGAGTGTTGGATAAAGGCCTAAGGTGCCATGGGCCAATATCAAAATTAGACCTATTTTTCCTAATTTAAATAAGATCTGCTATCTGTTATCAATATCTGATTTTATCTCTTATCAGCATATAATTTGATTTGCCAAAATTATAAGAGTGTAGATTCTCTTCCTCTCATCTCTTCTATATATATGTAAACACTTCTTATGAATAAAATATCAATACTGTTCTACCCTAATTATAACACTATCGTCAGGAGCGACAATTGGAAGTGTTAAGGAGTATGAGGGGCTCTACTATATTGAAGCCACCATTCAAGGGGGTAACTCCCCAATTGTTGGTAACTCTACATTTATCTCTAAAGTTAATGATTTTCTATTATGATATAACAGGATGGGTCATCCTAATCTTCATTACTGTCAACAATTGTTATGTCCAAACTTGAATATTAATGACTTTCATTGTGAGGTGTGTGAACTGGCCAAACACCATAAAACGTCCTTTCCTAGAGCCAAATACATTCCCACCAAACCTTGCACAACCATTCATGGTGACTTGTGAGGACCATCACGAACACCTAATCATACTAAAGCCACATGGTTCATTTCCTTTATTGATGACCACACTCATATCAGTTAGGTTTATCTTTTACAAAACAAGTATGAGGCTGCATCCACATTCATGAGTTTCTTCAACATGATTAAAACTTAATTTAATAATACCATTCAAAGTCTTACACACCAACAATGGCACCGAATACTTTAGCCAATCTTTGAGTACTTTTCTCCACATACACATTATTGTTCATACCAGTTCTTGTACCCATACACCCTAATCAAATGGGGTTGTAGAAAGAAAAAATCTTCATATACTTGATGTTGCCAGAGCACTCATATTTACCTATAATGTGCCTAACTTTTATTAGGGGGATGCCATTTTGACCGCAACCTACCTCATCAATCATATGCCCAGTCAAATCTTATCCTTTAGAACTCCTCTCTGCAAATTGTGAAGCATTTTCTCCACATCCTATATTGAAACCAACCTTCCACTTCGTGTGTTTGGTTGCACAATTTTTGTCCATAACCACCAAAGCACCAAGCTTGGATCTTGAGCCATAAAATGCATATTCCTTGTCTATTCTCCAACTCAAAAACAATACAAATGCTTTGACCTTGTCACAAAACACACATTTGTCAACCTTAATGTCACCTTTTATGAAGCTACTCTCTTTTATCCCAATTCTTCAATTCAAGGGGAGAGCACGAGTGAATTTCAGACTTGGAAACAAGAATCTAACAGAGAACTAGTGCTTCTTGAGCTATGGTTTGCACCTATTGAACCTAAGCCATCACCTTCATCTACCCTTCCAACACCATCTCCTCTTATGTCACAATCTGAGGAACACGAGCAAACAAGAGGAGGTGTAAAAGACCAAAAAAGGGAGAATTTTCAGTCTACACTCGAAAAAAGAAATCAAAAGATGGTAAGAAGCTTGTACCTAAAGCACTAAGAGAGTCAGTATTAGAGGTAGCTCCTGAAGTAGAAACACATAGTGACTTAGAATTTGGGGTAACTTCTGAAACCTCAAAGCTCGATAGTACAAAACAAGTAAGTGAATATGCTAATCTTGATCTACTTATTGCTTTGAGGAAGCAACCTCGCTCATGTACTTTCCATCCGATAGAAAGGTTTGCTTCACACAACGCACTCTCTTCTTAATATCAGGCTTTTGTTATCAATCTTGACAAAGTGAAGGTACCTGAGAATATACAAGAAGCTCTAAGCATCCCTGAATTGTGAAATGCTGTCATGAAGGAAATGAGAGCTTTAGAAAAGAATGAGACATGTGAACTTGTTCAGCTACCAAAAGGAAAGAGAACAGTGAGTTGTAAGTGGGCGCTCACCCCAAAATACAAGGCAGATGAAGCCTTTGACAAGTTAACAGGGCTTGGTTGCAAGGAGGTTTACCCAAACATATGGTTTTGATTATAAAGAAACATTTGCTCCGATGGCAAAATTGAACATTATTAGAGTCTTATAGTCTGTAACAGCTAATCTTAAGTGGCATCTTCACCAACTTGACATTAAAAATGCTCTTTTGAATGGAGAGTTGAAGGAAGAAGTCTACATGACTCTACCTCCTAGATTTAATAAAGGTAAGGAAAATTAAGTTTGTAAATTAAAAAAGTCTATATATGATTTGAAATAGTCACCAAAAGCTTGGTGTGATAGGTTCTCAAGAGTTAAAATTTGAAGGTTATAAGTAAGCCTTGTCAGATCATACAATGTTTGTTAAGGTCGAGGAAAGCAAGAAATGTCTCATTAATGTCTATGTCGATGACATAGTACTCACCAGAGATCACCTTAAAGAGATAGAAAAGAGTAAAGGCTGCCCTCGACAAGGAATTTGAAGTTAAAGAGCTCGGGAAGCTAAAATACTTTCTTGGGATGAAAGTTCCCAAGTTAAGGCGAGGAATCTATGTTTCTCAGAGAAAATATATATTTGATCTTCTTACTGAGATAGGTATGTTGGATTGTAAACCTATTAAAACTCCTATTGAGGTCAAGAAACTGACGAAGAAACCTAAGGACAAGAAGGGAAAAGAGGAAGACTCTAAGGAGAAAGATAACTCAGATGAGGAATATGAAGAGGAAAAGGAAGAAGCTACTAACAAAGGGAGATATCAAAAACTTGTTGGAAAACTAATATATCTTTCCCATGTAAGGCCAGATACAACATTCGCGGTCAATATAACCAATCAATATATGAGTTGCCCAATGAAGAGTCATGTAGAAGCAATCTACAAGAATTTGAGATATATGAAAGGTACTCCTGGTAAAAGGCTGTTCTTTAAAAAACATGAGCAAAGATCTACAAAAGTTTACATTGATGAAAGTTGGGGTAGAATTTATAGAGACCAAAGGTCAACCTCTACCTATTGTTCATTTGTATAAGGTAATCTAGTCACATGGAGAAGCCAGAAGCAAAGAATTGTTTCAAGAAGTAGTGCTGAATCTGAGTTGAGAGTTTTAACTCAAGGAATAACAGAGGAGTTGCGGTATGAGTCTTGAATGAAATACAAGTTGAAGCAAATTCACCATTAAAGCTCTACTATAATAATAAAGCTTCCATAAGCATGGCTTTAAATCCAATATAACATGACAGGTCGAAACATTTGGAGATAAATTGACACTTCATCAGAGAAAAAGTGGAAGAAGGAATTATATGTTTGACATATTTACCTACAAAGTTGCAAGCAACTAATGTTTTGACTAAAGGGTTGCTTAGCCCTGCATTTGAGAATTGTATAAGTAAGTTAAAAATGATTAGCATGTATAATCTAACTTGAGGGAGAGTATGAGAATATTTGGTATTCATTGTAAATATTGTACAGTCTATATTAGGTTTTATTAAACATTATTAGTAATTATTTCCCCTTGTGTATATATAGTATGCTTGTACTCAATATTCTAATCAATGAGAAATATCACTCTCAAATTCCACAGATACTTAGTCTCGAATCGCTTTTTATCATAAGTTACCAAATAGTTTGTTTCAGATCAAGCATAATAGAATTTCAAAATGTTCCCATCCCAAACCATAAACCCACAAAATAAATTCTTTAAAGACAGACAAATCTAGCCATCAAACAAGTTACTACTCTAGTCCTATTTATAAATCACTTCCAACATGTTTCATCAAGATAAAAGAAAACCTTAAAACTCATTAACTCTGTCTTAAAATTTGATAAGTTCTTAACTTTGTCCCTATTAAATATATACACTTCAATAACATATTTTCTCTCTCAACATTAAATGAAGGGTAAAAAAAAAAATTTTATAACAAAAATTTAATGATGTAACTTATAAATAGGATCAAAAAAAAAAATCTCTCTCTGCCTTATAAATAAAACCAGAGGAAGTACTCCCTCTGAACTACAATTTAGAGCATTAGTAACTACTTCATGGTTCTCAAAAGAAGCTAGGTCAAACCTTAATCTCTTGAGAACTTTTACATCTTTCCAATTATACCTTGATTAAATATTTTATATAAGTGTTTTAGCAATAAAAATTGAAATTGCAATACATCATTTTTTTTAATTAAAAAAAAAAGTAATAAATGAAATAGGGGTTTAGTTTAAAAAATAATTATGAAAATTACCTAATGCCCTATATTTTGGACCAAGCAAGGGCTCTAAAAGATGTCCTATATTGTGATCAGGAGGGAATATGGTGGTTCAATGCAGATGTGTGATCAATTCTATATGAGTTGAGATACCTTTGTACATATGTTTAGGGTTATAGAAAAATACTACATTTTGAGATCGAAATTACAAGATAAGGAAGATAAGGAAAACTTAACATGTCAAGAGAGTCATATTGACAGCAAAACTGAAGGGAGATATGGGAAAAATCAAAGATACTGGCACCTGATAAAAGAATGTCTCTTTCTCTGCAGTCGTAAAATCAAGCCTGCACAAAGAAATCAGAAATCACTTGCCAAGATAACTATGTGTAACAAGAGAGAGAAAAATTGTGCCACTTACCAACCCCTTTTCATCAGTTGAGCAGCCACAGAAGAAACCTTTGACTGGACAAAGCCATCAGGAGAGCTGGCATGCTGCATGACATAGCATATACAAAAACTGCAACCAACATTTATTCAAAAAAGAATAAGCAATAGCAGGACAAAACATAGCATGATTGAATCGCGACAGAAATGTTCTAATGAAAATCAAAGTGATACAATATAGACTCCTAGCTCTTAAGACCAAGGGTTGCCACTAAGATAATGCACTTGTGAACACATATGTGTATGAGGATCACCAGTGGGTGGATTAATTAGCAACCCTTGAGAAAATATGACACAACTTCTTCCCTGGCTTTAGAAGATGGGACAGAGTTAAATCGAATAAGTCCCATGAATAGTCAAGCTCACACAAAGCCCCCCCCAACCCACCACCACTTCTTTTCCAAGACAAAAAGAAAGGGAAAAACCATACAATAGAGAAGCAGTCATTAGGTAGAAAGAAAAGATATATAGCTGGTAATATAAGTAGTGTGTCAGGGACCCCACAACAAATTTTGTACAAGACAACAATGTTAATGTATTAAAAGGTTTAAGAAAACCTAATCAAGCCTCTCTTATCATCAGAAGTAAGAAAACCCCATTCTCTAATAGCTGCCTCACGGATAGCTGCAGCTGCTTGGAACCTTGCATTTGCTACGAGGGAATTTTCTGCAACAATAAAAATGAGCAAGTATTGGCATGCACTAAACCCGAACACAAAACGCCATACATGCTTAACATTTTTTTTTTTACAATTAAAACTTAAATTCAAAACTTAAAGCAGCCTAGTACAGAGTAGTGGACCGTGTTGGTGGGATTAATTGTCCAAAAAGAAATATAAAAGTTGCTCCCCTCCTTTCAGTTTTGAGTGAAGAGGAGGCTGGGTGAGACACTCATACAGAGGAATAGTGGCCAGTAGAGACACCCGGAAACCATTAGAAGCCACAACTGACATATCTCCAGGTTTGGACATAATGCGGACTTTAGCTCACAATACATCTTTGTGGATGTCAGCAATTCTATGGTTAGCTATGAATCATCTTCTAGGATAACTACAATGATTATTTTATCCAGCAGATGTACAAGCCCGTGAAATTTGTTCCTACTGTCACTTACTGGACACAAAAGTTGTATTTGCAAGATTTTATAAAATTTAACGGAAAAATCAATATTTCCAAATTCTGCACTATCGTCAACAATATCTCTAGCATCATACATAATCCAAGTAAATGTGACAAGATTTTCCTGTTAATGATAGGGATTTTTTTTTTTTTAGCAAAACAGTTCTGCAATTGAATAACGCTGAAATACAGAGGCATTCAATTTTTTCACAGTACACCAACCGAGAATGAATTGGCAAGTTTTATATGGCTGAGGTGACTGGAGTAGCGACAATATAGTAGCCTCAGCTGTTGCTGGATTGATATGCATCTGCAAAAAGATATGTAACAAGAATGATTTCATGGATTAGATGGAAATCCTCGCAAAAAGTCAGAAAATCTCAGTTCATTCACAATGATCTCGTGGATTCAATGCAGGAAGTATTAATGCCACCTGAGTTTGGCCCCAACCATTTACTTTTGAATTTTGATCAGCAAGAGGTAGATAGGAGGAGAGTGAGGAAAATGCAAGTTAAAATATGCTGTTATAAAATCGTAAATAAATTTATCATCGAATTTTAACCGGTTGTTCTAATCATGAAATAGCAAGTAGGAACAGAGTACAGTGCTGGATTTCCAATCCAGCAGTATTTCATTCTGTGACACGGAGCTTGACAGGAAGAAAGAAGGTCGGATGGACAAAGAATTTATGGACATCTCGACACTGGTAAAATATGCTAGCTAGAGTTGGCTCTACAGTAAGTAAATAAATCTACGTTTGTGGGATTTCATGGTTGCGAATTCCGTTCTCTTAAGCCGATTTCACCTCCATGTCAAGAGTTTCTTCTAATTTACCTGAGTTATGTTTTGCTTATGTTCCTTTCTCTCTTAAAATTGAAGAGAAGACGTCAGAAAACCCTGGGGAACAGAAATAACGTTTAGCAGAAAAATTCATGGGAACCTGAATGGAAGAGCAAGCTATTTCGATAGCTTGCATGGTAGACTGAAGCTGGGCCAAATCAGTCGGTCCACCTGCTGCAGCAAACCCTTGCATCTTCGCACCAAAAGTGAAAGACTATGAAACGAATGGTTCGAATTATCAATCCGGCTTTAGTTAGTTCCAGTGTTTTGTAATAACATTGATCAACACATACCACCAGGGGAAAACCCTACGGTGTAATTGTAAACTTGGGATTTGAACGGTGAATGTAGGGTATTGGCCCAGGGAGAGTGAGATGATCGAGTCTAGCAGAGCAACGAAGTTGCACTCCAGGGTACGGAGCAACGGCAGAAGGTAATGGTCTTTTGCTCTTGTGCTGATCCAGCCGTAGCAGCCTGCACCGCCCAGGGACAGGGAGATGAGAGTCACTGCCCGAGACATAGCGGGTATACGAATACTCTGCGTTCGATGTAAATTAATTGAGAAAATAGTTACTTTTTATCAAAATAATGAAATATTAATATCATTCATAAAATAAAAATGTAAAAAATTCACAAAATACGTGTTTTTTTTTTTCGTTTTTTTGTAACGACGAAGTACGTATATCTAATCTAGCATATATAAATATTACTGTTTTGTTTAGTTGGAAAGAAAATGTGAAAAGACAACAGATTTTTCCCCGTTTCGATGGGAAAAAAATGAAAAAAAAGAAAAGGTAAAAAGAAAATAGGGTGTGAAATTTATTTTTTTTTTAAACTTTTTTTTTAAGTGAATAAATTTTGAAAATAAAATTTTTTTTACCATCTACCCTCTTTCTTATTTATTTTACGCTCTGACTCTCAAAAAACTAATTAATTATATTAATTTAATTTTAATGAAATAATTTAGTTTATAATTTGTAACTTTTGTGGTTATATATTATATTAATTTAACTATTTAATTAAATAATTTGGCCATTAGATCAAGTGTATAGAATTACATTAATTTAATTTTAATTATTTGATTTTAAAAAATAATATAAAAATATATTTTTAATAAATGATTTATTTTAAATTAATTTAATTATGTTAATTTTAATATAATTTTTGCTTTCAATTTATTTTTACAAATATAATTACATGAAATATGATATATTTTAATACAAGGGTATTATAACTATTATGATATCTATTATTTTTTTACTTTTTATTATTTTTTTCTATCCATTTAAATAGGAGGAGTGGTGATATTTTCTTTTTAATTTTTTTTCTTTATTTTTTTTAACTTTTTTTTTCCATCTAAACGGAGCGTACAAGTTATTCATTCCTTTATATTTGGATTAATTTAACAGCAGAGTGCATTATATTGATCATTGTACGTTGTTGACTTGAGACACAACTAAAATCATAATTTTGAATTTGCAATTAATTTTGATAGGGTCTAGATATTATAAAAAAAAAACTATAGCTCAGAATGTATAATCTATAATCTATATCCATAATTTTTATTGTTTATCTTTAATATAAAATATTTATAATCAGATGTACTGTAGATTTACCAATCCATCGCGCTTTTCTTTTTCTTTTTTTTAATTTTTATATGATAATTTAAAAAATGATATAATAAATAAAATTAACTGATAATAAAAAATAAATTATAAATATAAAAATTAAAATAAAAAAGTGTGGAACATGCAATAAAATTACAAATGTGAAAAAAAAAGGATAGTTATGCAATTCAATGGAAAAAAATTTATTTTTAGATTTGCAGTTTATATAGAATAATAAGTTCTAAAAATAATAAATTGTTGCTTGTGTTTTTAACATGTAAAAGGTTATGAATTATAGAATAAAATAAATTGCTGTTTATACTTTTACGAGCTATTTGATTTCCGGAAAGTATGGTAATGAAATTAATTAAATAAATAAAAACAAAAATAAAATCTCCATTTTATTTAGTATGATAAGTTAATTGCACGTTTTTCTCGGGTTTTAGTCTTTCCATGAAAAACCAATACCATAAATGTGAGAATAACCATAATATTCATGAGTCTAAAGCATCATGACTCCATTCTAATTATTTTTATATTATTTTTAATTCATTTACTTAGTTTTTCCTTTTACATTTTATCTATATTAAAAAATTTCAATCCCAATTTTTCTATTTTCTTTTCACAAATTTAGCTCATTAAAATTTTCTTCCCTCTCCATTCTATTCTATCTAGACCAAGATTTAATATCCCATGCACAGGTATAAAATATAGTTCCTAATTAATTTGATGTGTATTGAGATGTTTGAATATTTTTTGTAAAAAAATCATGTTTTAATTTTGAAATACAATGTAAATGTTTTAATATAATTCCACAAAATCATTATTTTGGGCTTTAACATTCCATGGAATCATTTGATATCAAGGTCAAGTTATAAAGATTGATTTTTCTAATTTAATTATTAGTGTAAAATTAATAAGATTTTTGTCAAAATTATCTTTAATTATAAGTGCAGTTGATAAGGTTTTTTAATTGATACACCCTATTAAATATGGGTAAGTATGTAAAAAGTGTGTGATTTTAGAGATAGTTAAATAATTTATCGAGAGTGTAATTCAATTAAAAGTGTATTATAATATAAAATAGATGGAGTATAAATCTTATGATTATTTTATATTATGTTGGTGGTTTGACTAAGTTTAGCATTCACCAAAACATATATGTTTTTCTTTCTAACTTTTGCAATGTCTCATGATAAAAAATTAACATTGATAAATCCAAATTTTTTTGTTCTAAAGATGTCAACATCAAGCTTTACAAATTAATAATGAGTTAGAAATTTCTCTTATAGGAAATCTTAAAAATACTTTAGAATGCCACTAATCCATGAAAAAGTTTTCAAACTTATCTTTACTTCTTTCCTTTATAAGATGAATTCGAGCTTTGCAAATTGGAGAAGTCGTTATCTAAATATTGTGGGAAAATGTGTGCTTATTGAATATGTTCTTTCTTCTTTTTCTAACTATACCATGCAAATTATACCCTTACTTGACAACGTTTTTGTTAAATTGGAAAAAAATCTCATGAAATTTTTTTGGGGTTCGCCAAATAGGAACAAAAAACCTCAAGTTCTCTTTTAGGACTACGTTGCTTCATATAAAAAGGATGGGAGAATTAGCATCAAAAAGGCCAAGAATTAAAATATTACCTCATCACAAAACTATGCTGGAGTCTCATCACTCAACTAAACTGCCTTTAGGTATGTGTCTTATGTGATGGATGCAAGTGTAATAAACCTACAATTCATATAGTTGTTAAATCAAGCTTTTCTCTCATCTACATAGAGTAGCACATGCAAAGTCTAAAATAAGTTTATGCCTCATGTTAGCTAGAAAGCTAGTGGAGGAGACTAGACCTTGTTTTGGTATGTTAAATGGTCTCCCTTCCTTGATCCTCTTGTTAGACATGCTTTTAGTAATGCTGACTCTATTCATCACACAAGAGTTTATAATTTCTACAATATCATAGGTGTTGGGATTTTGATTTTTTAAAATACCACGTCCACTCTAATGTGATTGGACAAATTGTACTCATGCAAGCTCTCAATCGACAAGGTGGTGATGATGTTCTTTTCTAAAGGTTCTCCTCTAGTGGTGACTTATTTTATTAAACATGCTTACAAAGCTTTAGAGATCCATACGAACCAAAACCATTATGATATCTAGTCCAACATTTGAAAGTGGCTTACTTATGAAAAAATTAAATGTTTTTTTGAAAAGTTTCTTGGGATCATTTCTAAACCAACTACACGTATACTAATGGAAATACTCCTTAATAACATATTTGTCCCCTGGGTTGTAACTTCATTAACTCTTCTATTCATATTTTGCTTGATTGTAAGAAAGCTCAAGAGGTTCGAAAAAGGTTAATGAATCCTACATAACTTAATACCTTTTTCTCTATTTGTGTGTAAGATTAAATAACTTGGAATGCTAATAGTGAAGCAAGTGGTTTGAGAACGAGAAGAATGCCTTGGCAAAGACTTTTTCCAAGCAAGCTGGAACATATGGAAAGCCAGATGTAAGAATATCTACTTTCAAGATGATATCCTAAAAGGTGACACTACCTTCTCTTGCACTCAATAGATCATCAATAACCTAAAACTTTAATTCAAGACCAGCCATGTAAGCAAAAGAGACAATGGGTATGAAGCTAAATGGAGCCCTCTTAAACCTGGATGCAGTCTTGATATTGATGGCTTAGTTAGTACTAACAGTGTTGTTGTTTGTAGAGGCATCATCAGAAATGATAAGAATGATTGGATTAAGTGATTTTTTTAAATATCTTAGCTATCATCCTAACACAGCACTTGAGCTCTTAGGAATATTGGAAGGCCTTAATCTTTGCTGGCATGAGAAATTATCCAAAATTAACATATACTCTAATTATGTAGAAGCTTTGTCACTTATTGACTGCAGTTACTGTAACATCTCAAGTTTTAAATTCAAAATCTAATTAAAAGGAAACTTAGTAAATTGGTGGATTAAATAAGTTAATCATGTTTATAGGTTCTTAACTGAAATTTTAGATTATTAGACATCTTCAACATCAGGCTAGACTAGGGTAAAAGTTAGATTAGATCAAGTTTAATTATGGAAGTTAAAGTGAGTTTTGGCTCATTGCACCACATGTCATAGCATGACACTACATGTCATGGTGCATGATGTGGAAATTTGACAAATAAGACATGGTTTGGTGTGAAAATCAAAGGGAAAATATAAGAAAATACAATGGAGCTTGGGAGTTGGCATTTTCCTCTAACAAGGTGTCAAGTTTTGAGTGCTTGGGAGCTACTTTTGGGCTACCAATCAACTGGGTAAGCTTTTTATTCCTTTCTTCTACTTCTCTAGCTTGTTTTCTTGAATTTTGGAGAATAGGTAGATGAGTTCTGGCTTGGAGAAAGATTAAATTCAAACCTTAGAGCTTGTATATACCTTTATAAGCTTAATTTGAAGTTCTTTATCTAGAATAAATGATTTTGTATAGTTAGGTTGTTGGGTTAGATAAACCCTAGCTTGGAATTTAGGATTTTAAAGTTGTGAGAGCTAATTAAGCAAATAATTTAGATTTTTAAACATTGAATAAAAATAATATGAGTTGGTTGTAACTTCAATTAGCTCAATGATATAAGTTAAGGGCCTCAGATAGCTAAATTTAATAAATTTAGTTAATGAGCATCATGTTAAGTCAGAAAAATAACGTAAAATGCTTAATATTATAAATTTTAGTAACTTGGAACCTCTTTGAGATTGAAGAGACTATTGAAGCATCACTTTTACCACAAGTAATCCTTTTGTATCAAAAAAGTTGAGATAACCAAATAATTTATACTGTTTGTTAGCTTGTAAAATTGTTCACGAGTTATTTATGAATACATGTGCGTATGATTATGTATGTATGCTTGATTTTAAAAATTATAGAGTGAGAAATGAGTTTTTGAGAAAATGTGAATTATGTTCTTATTTGAGTTATAACCATAAGTTAAATGTGACTGATATGTATGATTAGAGTATCATTGTACATAATAATTAGAGAATGAGAGTTCATCCTAAGTGAAGTAGAGTTTGTAAATATCCAATTTAAAAATTATATTCATATATTGTTTTCAAACCAACAATAACTATACATAACAGTTGACCGTATTGCATTGGCATTAATGATTCAGAACAAGTATTGCCTATGTATAATTTGATTTTGATAATACTAAGGAAATATGATTCAGATGAAATTTGTTCCACTAATTCAGTTTAACGACGTAAACTTTTCAGGGACTGGTTTAAAAAATTTTAAACTACAAGGTCTAGCTTCAATAATCATCAATATCAGCAATATTAAGAATATAAGAACAAGTGTACATAGAAAAGTATTGTTTAGGGGAGGATAACCCTCCACTGTTTAAATTTATTGAGAAATTAATCTACTTTCTATGATAACAATATGGGTTAAAAAAATACAAGAACCAAATATTTTTGCTTATTTTAAATGCTGACGGGGCTGGAAACGTTGCTGTTTGCCAAAGATCTTGCACCCATTCCATTCTCCTTGGCAGCACGCAGGAGCACGTGTTAGCTCTTTGGTTCCGCCACAAATTATACTTTCTTTTCTTTTTTATTTCCCCCATGGATCTATTTATTATTTTTAAAAATACCTTTTTCATGTATCTGCAAAACGATTTCTCCTTTCTCCCTCCAAATTTGCGTTGATCTCTGGACAATTTTCCTCCCCTCTTTGTCATCTCACCCCCATTCAATTGTAATTCTTCTCTCCCGGATCACTCGCACCGTTTCCTCTCTTCAGCATAACCTGCTAATAAATTTCATCCCTGAAAGATCTAGGGTTCCTGATTAATCTGCACCTCCCTATCTGACTATCTCAAGCGCACTCTTCCCTTTTCATTTTAGAATCTAATTGAAATCTGGCTTCTCGATTCAAAGGCATTGAAAGTTAACTTGCTCAACTCTTGCAAATTAATCCAGGATTCGATTCGATCTATATGCTGCTCATTGGTTTTGCACGTGAATGAGAGATAGCGATTGGTTTGGATGATCATGGAAGTCATTAGTGACGTGGCGGCGTTGGACGTCGAATTACTGCAGCTCCCGGAGTTTTCTGCTTTGGCCCTCAAGTCGAACCAAAACTTTGTTGAGAAGCTCTTCGAGCAGTGGCTATCGCTTCCCGAGAGTAATCGAGTGGTAGGTTTCATTCGATAATTTCCGAATTGGCATCTGGTTAGGTTGTGTACTTCAAAAGCCTCATTAGTTTGCCTTTTGTCCGTGTTGGAATTTGCCATGTACTCTTATATGGCCACGAATCCTGTAGGCTGTATCCATGAGCGAGGAACGAGCTATCGTGGAACCAACTACGATATCAAAAGGGGAATAGCAGGACTTCTGGTCGTCACATCTCGATAGTCTAGAAAAAAAAAAATTAGTGGGATCCGGTCAATTAGAGACAAGATACATCATTCTAACATGAAGTTTGAATACCAAATTGCCAAAGGAGAGCAGTTCGACCAATTAAGTTCAATATGTTTCTATTGCATTCCATTTTTGGTGCCTATCTGCTCCTGTTCACATCTAAAAGTGGGAGTTAATTCCATTTTTAATTTCGTTCCCCAAAAATAGGAATGTGCATAGTAATGAAAGTGCGGAATGCCGTTAACAAGGGGATACATTTTTGGCCTTTTGTTTCATGTGCTGAAGTTCTTTTTCCCCTCTGAATAATTTACAAAACATGATTTCCATCTCGTGTCTCACTTCTTGATATCTGTAGGTATCATCTCTGCTTAATGAAGCCAAGTCTGGCGTTCCCTTGAATGTCCCGGGTGCGTGCTCCAGTCCCAATGCAGCAAGCAATTCTCTGCCTTCCATGTTTCCTGCAGGGACTGCACCTCCTCTTTCACCAAGAAGTACGTCTGGTTCCCCTCGTATAGTGAAACAAAGGGTTGGCCTTTCTAATTTAAGTTCTCCTTTGAAAGTTGTCAGTGAGCCAGTCAAAGAATTGATACCTCAGGTTAGTCAAGTCTGACGTGTTTTCTTGTTGTCTTTCCTGGTTGACACTCCTCTTTGGTGCCTAATCTTACAATTGAAAATGTATTGGGACATGCCCCCCCTAATTTTAATTTTAGGTTTCGTGCTATTCTTTTTGTGATAAATGCTCCTACATTCTTGCAGTTTTACTTTCAACAAGGGCGTCCACCTCCAAGTGAACTGAAAGAACAATGCTTGTTTAGGGTTGATCAGTTATTCTATGGTCAGTTAGATGGACTGCAGATGCATGGTGAGATATCACAAATATATCTATGTTGCCTAATGGACCAGTTTGATGCAGCTGGGAAAACAAGTGATTTTTAATTAAGATTCAAATTTAAGCTCTGTAAATAATCACTCCCTGATCCCAACAACCACCTCTGAGAATTATGTCCTACTTGTTTCTTTGGTATGCCAGAATTCAAATCAGTTACCAAGGAAGTCTGCAAGCTGCCATCTTTCTTTTCAACATCTATTTTCAGAAAGATTGACTCCAAAGGAACCGGCTTTGTGACAAGGTGTGCACTTCAATTTTCCTTGACACAACTTTTGTTCCACCATCCCCTTTTAATTTGTTTTTGGCGGTCCTTGCATTTAGCTTTCTGGATAAGATTGTCTCCTAGGTGCTGGGGCAAATTAAAATTTTCTCTGTTCAAAATTGTTTGGCTGAATGCATCTGCTCCCCCCAGTATTCCTTCTTTTAAAATGAAATTTCACTCTTGATAACCAGATTTGTTTTTTGAAGGAGTTGCCAACCATCAATGCTTGTCCTGCTAGATTGCTTAGCCCCTATAAAATTTGTGTCAGATAGGATAAACTAATACACTCTATGTTTATATGCCCTTAAATGTAAAGGATTATTAGGCCAGTTTATTTTATATGGTTGTAAGCATGTAACTTTATCCCCGCCAAAGGAGAGGAATATGCAATGATAAGAAATCTTGGGTAACTTTCTTAAAGAAAATAACTATATTTGTCTTGATTTGCTGATATATTGTCATATCATTATCATTACAAGCATTGTCGCTTCCACATCCCTTGTCTTCATTTACTAAAAGAACTATAGTGTTGCTAAAATTCTGTGGCCATCGCTATTCTTGTCTCCATCTCACCAGTATGTGTAATCATTATTGGTGTTGCCATCTCTTACTTTCATCATCGCTAACATTAAACATTACTGTCACCCTCACTACCTCAACAATTGATGTCGTCATTGTTCCTGCCACTGTGACCTCATCTTATTACTGCAAGCATTTTGCCCATCACAGCATCCCATTACTCCCGTCCTTACTACCATTACCACCATCATTGGTTGTTCACTTTTGTCATCTTGCACGACAGCTACCATTGCCTTGTAACTGACCTCCTCCAAATTGACTTCCTTTGCCTAGCAGTTGCTACCATCACTGTTATCATATGGCTGCCACACTGCCTTAATGTTCCTACGCTCACCATCACTACTATCACTATTTTCATGTTAAAATGAGTATAATATTATTTACATCTGTAAGGTAATATTTTCTGTTTCCTTTTGAATACATATGGCAAGTGTAAGGTAATATTTTCATACTATCAACAAACACGTTATACATATATATGCTGGTGCAGCTAACGTGTGATTTTATTAAAGGCTTAAACAGTGGATGTTTATACATTACTACCCAATGCTACTGATACTATCTGTCTTTTATCCTTTAGGGTGTGCTAAATAGGGCCTTAGGATTTAAAGGCTACCAATTAAGGCTGGGAGGAGGAGGAAACTAGGCTTGCAAAGAAGGGGTTTGCATATTATTTGGCTGGGTGGGTGTCTGTAGTGCTTATAACCAAACAAGAAGTTATCCTAGCAAATTGCCTTTTTAATGTGGCAGTATGCTCCTACGCATGCTGTTGTAATCAATAGCTTGATTGCTTCTATGTCTAAAACTTGGCGGCGCCTAGGGCTGGAATTTATATCACATAAGCGGGATGATTGAGAACTTACAGTTGCACTTTATCTCATTTTATCTTCTTTAAAGTGAGAGCTATTGCCAGTCTCATTGTGAAATCAATCATTGACTAAATCAGAGTTGTGGCCATCACTACTTAATGATGTTTCTTGTGATTACTTTTCCCCTTTCTAGACACTGCTTACATCTTTTAACACCAGATATTATGCTGATTCATCTAATGTGTGGAAGACATTACGGGTTGTCATTAAAGTAAACTTGGTTTTATGCAGTTTTCTCCTTTCCAAAGTGTAGGGTTAATAGTTGAATCGTGTTGCATCCTGTAATAAATTATTTGTTAACATTCATGCATAAATCTGTGGTTTGATTTTACTATAGGAACGCATTCATTGATTATTGGATTAATGGCAACGTGTTGACGATGGACATGGCAACTCAAATATACACAATTTTAAAGCAACCAGATCTCAAGTACCTTACGCAGGTTTTTTTGTTCTTTTTTTTTTCTCCTACTTTTCTGTTTGTTTAACTTTCTTCTCTTCTGTGTGCATAATGGCTGTTTGTTTGAAATGTATTGGAATAGAGAATATAATGATAAAAGTGATTTTATAGATGAAAAATATCTCTTTTGCCCCTTAATAAACAAGGAGTAATGAAAAGAAACAAATATTGTTGAGTAATTATAACTGGGGGATATATATACCTTGATTTTGCAAGGAAAATGGAATCCCTTTCCCTTGCACCAATCAAGCAAGGTGTGGGAGAGTTCTTGTAGGCAAGTATCCGTTTTTTTGTTTTTTTTTTTGGGCTTATGAACTATGTTTGTATTCATCTAATTGATAATGACATTTTACTTAATCTCAGGATGATTTTAAACCTGTACTAAGAGAGCTATTGGCAACCCATCCAGGGCTGGAATTCCTCCAGAGTACACCTGAGTTTCAAGAGAGATATGGTCTGTCTTCAGGCTTGGCTTTAAAGTTGTATATACATGTTCATTTAACTATAGATACTGGCAAACCGATATTATGTTCCTTAAAAGTTTAATGAATCCTCAGAAATCTGCATGCTGATTTCTGATCATAGATCTGTCAAGCTCCAATAATGCCGATTGGAATCAGTCTCACCATAAAATAATCACTTTGGCTTCTTATCTTCCATTATTTGTGTGGTAACACAATTCTATGTGGCTGCAACTGGTAGGCAATTGGCAATGCATGCCTTGCAACAATGATGCATCAGCCCAAATTTTTCATTTTCTTTCAATTGTTCTTGGGGTCAAATTGTTAATGAATTACTAGTGAACAAATAATTATGTAACAAGTATCCCATTTATGGCTTTCATTTTGCTTATTCTTTTTTTTTTAATTATTCTTTTACTGCTAATATATTTCTTCTAGTCCCTATTATAAGGCACCTTAAGCTACCTTACCAGAACCAAGAAGAGGTGGGTAGGTCATTAACTTTGTCTAAAATTAAAGTAAACTTCCAATTTTATTTCTATTTAAATGAAAAATTTTCAAATTTGCATTATATTCTCTCTCATAGTTAATGAATTTAAATTGGGATAATATTAGAAAAATGTAATTAATATCCCTGTCAGTGCCTTATATTAAGGATCAAAGAATTTTTTTATAAGGCCCCTTATAATAAGGATCAGAGGGAGTACGTTCCAGTATGTGATTTGAAAAAAAGTAGTGCTTTATCTGTGTTGAGTAGCAGGTTGGAGAACTAGTTGGAAAGTTTTCTTCAAAGTTGTTTTTTGGTGTCTAGGCATATACTGGTTTGTGTTGTCATGATTATTGGGGCAATGATATTTTCCTCCTGGGTGCAATATTTTTTAACATGTCCTTCCAATGGCCCAGCTGAAACTGTAATATACAGAATATATTACTACGTAAATAGATCTGGGAATGGTCGTCTTACCCTGAGGGAGCTGAAGCGTGGAAACATAATTGATGCAATGCAACATGCTGACGAAGAAGAAGACATTAACAAGGTTTTGAGGTAGACGAGTTGTGTGAATACAACATTAAATTAACTTTATCCAAAAAAATCTATTTTTTATTTTTTAAAAAAACCAGTTCTATTTCTTCCCGATCAAATATAGTATATTGCCTTAATTTTTGCCCTTTTTTAATACCCCTATGCAGGTACTTCTCTTATGAGCATTTCTATGTTATATACTGCAAGTTTTGGGAGCTGGATACAGATCACGATTTCTTGATAGACAAAGAGAATCTTATTAGATATGGCAACCATGCGCTTACCTATCGAATTGTTGATAGAATATTTTCTCAGGTTTTTGTGGATTAGATATTGTGTTTATCTTGAGAATATATTTCTACTGCTGTCATATGACTTTGACTTGCTTCAATATAATCACAGGTTCCCAGAAAGTTTATGAGCAAGGTTGAGGGAAAGATGGGATATGAAGATTTTGTTTACTTTATACTGTCAGAAGAGGATAAATCATCTGAGCCTAGTCTTGAGTATTGGTATTCCCCCCTTATTATGTCTTGGGTCATTTATTATTTTCTTTTATCTATAAAATGTCAATAGATATGGTAGTTGCAGACTCAGTGTGTACCTGAGTGGGTGTGTTTCAAACAAGAGGTTGATTGATAAAATTGTCTATTACTAGAACTTGATCCCAAAGTTGTAAGAATTAGACCAAATCGACTAGTCTGCTCAGTCATGTTGAACTTACTAGATGGGGTTCCTTCTATTGCACAAGCTTGAAGAACTAGCTGTACTTTCTCTGGTTTTAAATATAAGTCACCATTGCTTTACTGATATTAAAAAAATATTAAAGTAGTTTAACTAATTAAATTAGTTCCAAAATAATTATATTCCAAATTTTTCCCTATTGAAATGGTTGACCTCTCTCCATAGTAAATTGAATTATTCTTGATGTCTTGTCTAATTTTTCTCTCGTAGCTTTTGATTCCCAAATTTTAATAAGGGGTACTTAAGGAAAATGTCATTTAATGATCTCAACAACCTAGAAAAGTTACATTTTGGATCAAGAAAACTTTCCAACAAGTGTGATAGGTAGGAATAATTTGGAATGATAGAGAATTGAGAGAGCGCGGAAAAGGATGAGAGAAGAACAGGAAGGTAGAGAGAGTAGAGAAGAATGAGAGATTAAAGAGAAGAAGTTGACAGAAACTGAGAAGTAGCGGTGTGACTGAATAATTCGTCCTCTTTCATAAAACATCAAAATACAACTATCAGCCTATATATAGACGTCCCTTCCTAACGCCCTTCCCAACGGCTATATTAACTAACTAACTAACCAATTATGTCCTAATTATAAATTTATAACAATACCCCCCTCTCAATTGAGGAAATTGCTGCTGGAACTGATGCAAAGTTGCCCAAGATGCTTCTTCCTCTGGTAATTGCTTCGACTTGACCAAAATTTCAGTAATTATCCTCCTCTTTTTCCGGCCAACTCTTTTCTGCAAAATGCATTTAGGTTCTAAAACTGGAGGTACTTTAGGCTAGTCAAGAGGTGGATGCCTCTACTTGACTTTAGGATAAGGACATAGCTTCAATAGGGATACATGAAAGGTTGCATGTAGTCTGGAATCAGGTGGTAGTTCTAACTTGTACGCCACTGCTCCAATTCTTTGAATCACTTTGTAAGGAGCTAGTTTTTGATTACTCCTAGAAACTGCAGAAAGTTGTCTATAGGTTTGTAACTTTAAGAAAACCCATTGTCCCACTGCAAATTCCCTATCAGATCTGTGTGAATCTACCGTTTGCTTCATCATATTCGCAGCGCGATGGAGATGATGTTTGAGAACAGCTATCATCTCTTCTCTTGCTGTAAATGACCTGTCCACAGCATCTAGCACACTATTATGAGGTAAATAAGGAGAATGGAGAGGAGGTTTCTGACCATATAGAAGTTCATAGGGAGTAGCCTTAGTTGCTGTGTGAAAAGTGGTATTATATCACCACTCTGCATGAGACAATCACTTACTCCACTGCTTGGGCTGTTCCCAACACATGCACCGAAGGTAGGTTTCCAAACAACGATTAAGCAACGCTAGGGAGCCACTGCCCATTAGTGTTTTTTTATAGGGAGCCCATGCATTTGACTGGAAAGGTTTTATGGCTGGTGCTGAGGGTTGGGTGGCTGAAATTAAGGGTGCCACGTATCCTCCCCCTTTATTTTGGCTTTTCTTCTCTGGCTGTCTCTGAAATATGATTTCTTGCATTCTCGCGAGCTTCTGAGCCTCTCTCAGGGTCCGAGGTTTGAAAAGGCATACCGGACCCTCATATTCCTCTTAAAGACCTGAGAGATACATGTCCACCAAATACTCTTCCGGTAGTCGTAGCTTACACGCGATCATATCAAACTCATCGTGATACTCGGCCAAAGCTCCTCATTGCTTCAGACGAGCTAAATTGCTTATCGGGGTCTCATGAATAAGTTCGAAATGGTCTTTAATTTCTTCTATATGTTCTTCCCAGGTTGGCCGAACTCCTTCCCATGATTTCTCATAAGCTTAATGCCATTGGAAGGCTCTTGGGTCAAGATGCATGCTTGCTATCTTAATCTTGGTTTCTTCTGGCGTCTCATCAAGCTCGAAATATCGCTCGCATTTCATAATCCAGCCAAGAATGTCTTCCCTAGTAAACTTTGGGAATTCCATCTTCGTAAACTGAGTGGCCCTCCTATATTCTCTTCATTTATACCGATTTCTGCGTTTATGATCCTTGTGCTCGTGACAACGTTCAGCAATCTGTCTGTTTTGGTGGTTGCCTTCTCTTCAGCCTCTCAATCCCTTACTAATGATTGAAGTTGTTAAGAGAGCCCATCAACCAATTCTGTCAAAGCATCAATCTTTCCGTTGTTTTCTTTGATCTTGACAATGAAATCTTCCATTTTTTGTTGGCTTTATTGGTTTCAGCTGCGTGTCTTGACCATGAACCGTGATTGGGGATAAAGAAGAGGAGCCGAAGAGCGTCTGCTCTGATACCACTGATAGGTAGGAATAATTTGGAATGATAGAAAATTGAGAGAGCGCGAAAAAGGATGAGAGAAGAACAAGAAGGTAGAGAGAGTAGAGAAGAATGAGAGATTAAAGAGAAGTTGAGAGAAATTGAGAAGTAGCGGTGTCACTGAATAATACGTCCTCTTTTATAAAACATCAAAATACAACTATCAGCCCATATATAGACATCCCTTCCTAACGCCCTTCCCAACGGCTATATTAACTAACTAACCAATTATGTGCTAATTACAATAACAAAGTGACTCATGTTGGAGACTAAAGGGAGTATATTATTTTAATATATAAATAATTTTTTATTAAACATCCATTTAAGTGATGAAGATATGGATGTTGCGGGCTTTCCAATTATGGACTTGCTTGATGATTTTGGAGTTGAGCTTAGTGATGGTTGTGATTCTCCTGATATAGAGATGCTAATGAAGTGAAATCAAATGGATTTAATCTCCATGAATATGATGATTGATTAGTGATTGCCAGTGGTTTAAGTTCAACTTAGGGTTACGGATGAAGATTGATTTATTTAAATTTGATTATCAAGTTATGAAATTTATTAGTATGGACTTCTCTTTTTAGATTTTTATGCAACATTTTAATTTGATACATAAAATAAGAATTATATTAATTTAATCACTACTAGTTTGACCAGGGCTATCTATTATCAAACTAATAATCCTTGAAGTAATGCATCTATTGGTTCAATAGTCTGAGTTTAAGAACATTGCTTGATCTGGATCCTGGTAATTTTTAAAGCTTAATGCAAAATAGAACAAATCATGAGTGGAAAAAATTTGCTATTGATGACAGTCTCTTTGATGGACAAATGTCCTAGAGAACACGAATCTGTTACTGTAATCGTTTGCATTGTGTAATATGGTTCCATATTGTGCAACAGTTGGCAGTTGGGTGAACTATCAGACCAGCGTGTAAAACTGGGGAGTTACTCGCCGGGCTCAGAGCTGCTTAGCAAAATTAACAATGTGACAAATTAAATTGACTTTGAAAGTTTGGGATGTAAATTGCTTAAAACTTGCTTGGCTTAGGAAAAATGAAGGATAAATGAAATAGAATACTTCTTTTTGTTCATTTTCCACCATCTCTGCTGAGTACCAAGGAATGAAAACTAGATTCTTTTACATTTTCACTCCCCTCTCTTGTCTACCTCCCTTATGAACATGACCGTTCGTCAAATTTGGGTCATTGATCCTGTTTCTTTACTAAAACGGGAAAAAGAAAACTTAGGCGGACTTAACTATTGACCTGTACCTGTTTTTGACTTGCTGTTTGAGCTGACTTTGAATTGTCATAACTAGGTTCAAGTGCATTGATTTGGATGCAAATGGAGTTCTGACACGGAATGAGCTGCAATTTTTCTATGAGGAGCAATTGCACCGGATGGAGTGTATGGCTCAAGAGCCTGTGCTTTTTGAGGATATCTTGTGCCAGATAATTGACATGATTGGACCTGAGGTTTGCCCTTACCTCTTCTACTGGTTGATTTTCCCTTCTTTTGTTGGGTGAAATTCCCAAGTTTCGCTCTTGAGGAAGATGGCATATCATTACTAGTTTCATGTAGTCATGCGCCATGTTTTATCCCTTCCTCTTTAGTCTTTATCTTTGATCGTTGTAACTTTTTACATGTCCTGCATACCGCATCTAACATTTTTTACACCAAAATAAACTGTTAATTTTGCAGAATGAGAGCTATATAACTCTGCGTGACCTGAAAGGCAGTAAACTCTCCGCAAGTGTTTTTAATATCCTGTTCAATCTAAACAAGTTCATGACCTTCGAAACTCATGACCCATTTTTGATTCGTCAGGTGCATGAAATATCATGTGTTGGTAAGTTTGGCCATGGTTGGTATTTTCCTTAACGTATCTATCTTGTGTGAATAGGAACGTGAAAATCCAACATGGACAGAGTGGGATCGGTTTGCTCATAGAGAATATATCAGGCTTTCAATGGAAGAAGACGTAGAAGATGCCTCTAATGGGAGTGCAGAAGTCTGGGACGAATCACTGGAGGCTCCCTTTTAAGATTTATTATGTAAGTGCTTTTATTGATGTAATGACGGTAGCATGGCGCTGTGGCTATCAGCTGACAATGCACTGTGTCTTAATGTGGTTAACTGGTTTTGCCTTATATGGCGTGCAAACTCGAGTGCAGTTTGTATGACTTTGCACTTCCTAGATGACTTCTGGAATGTTGAAGTCGTGAATTTTGTGCTCTGAAGAAACTTGGGAGTTGTGGATTTTGTGCTTTGTGCTTTCGGGCAAAATGTTATGGCGTCATTTTTTTTATTTTTTTTTTAAATCTATTACAGGGATGTAGAAAGATGAACGCCCTCGATCTGATGGACTTGCCATTGTTCAAACGCTCTAGATTGGGGATCAGCTTTTAAGTGGATGGTGCCAACTCAACCCTGAGATAGAGAAATTCCGAGCTTCACCTCAAATGTGTCTTTGATGGGCATTGGGCAAGCAGCGACGATATTCAGAGCTTTCGCTGGCTGTGACAGATGCTGTGGCCATCATCAGGGAAGTTTTGTTGCGTTGTTGCAATGACCATGCACAGTGAGGGCCGTCGTGGAGAGGTGCTAGGGTTGAATTAATTGATCTCAATGAATACGTTTGTTATTTTGGGGCTCCTAAATTAATGAACACAGATAAGTTAATTTTAAAAGATCGGTTAGTGTTTTGCTTCATAGTATTGAGACACTTATCTCTCTTGATTCGTCGAGAGTTAATTTGTTTTTCCATTTGGGCTTCTGGTTGTTTACTGCTAGGCGTAATTTTTGTTTTTTTTTAAGTCGGGCTTTAGAATTTGGAGAGCTAAATTTATCGCATCACTTCCGTGTTACGAATATATTTCGCGGTTGAGGTTCAACATGATAAAAATTGAGTTTTCAGGTCAATTTGAATGCATAATATGGCAAGCTGGGGAAAATTGTATCGATCTGGCCGATTAGAGCAAAAAATTGATAAATTGGTCATGAAGTTTACCGACAATTAGATCGACATTGAATAGGATATTCTGTATATTTTATTTCTAACTTAAGAATGCGAGCTTAAAAGGGAGATGATTACAACAACAACAACAAGCCTTTATCTCACTAGGTGGGGTTGATTATATGAATTGTAAGATGTTATTGTGCTCTATCATTTATCAAGCAAAAGGGAGACGAATATGAAGAAAATAAATACAAAAGAGAAGCCACAGCATGGCTGTCCGTGCATAAGAAGGACTGAAGCAAAAAAGATTCGGTGCCCTTATGAAATGACTGAATTCTGAGGTTATAATCAGACACCTGTACCCCTCGCTGCCGCGACACGATTAGGGAAAGCAAAGGATCAAGATCTGGTCGATAACCTTTAAACAAGGCACTCGTCCCCACCACAACTGCCCTGTATCTTGATGGCTTATATGCATGACAAAGGAGCATCTAAACTCTCTAAGGCCTGTATGGTACAAAAGAACGAGGGAGTAAGATTAGTATTGATATTGATCAATTCTAAATTTTTATGTTTTGTACATGGGAATAAAAATTTCAAATCCAAATCCATCTAGGTGGGAAATAATCAGTACCACCATCCTTCAAATGGTATTGCAAAATCAATACTAAGAGTGAATTTCTTAAGACCAAATTACCCTTATTCTTCCTTCAAAATTTCGTCCTCATCTTCTTCTGATTATTCCAGGTCAGACAATCCATTTCCTTCATCTTCTTCTTTCAATTATTCCTTTCCATTCGATCTTCCAATTTTATGGGTTTGATTATTCCTGCTTCAACAATTCATTTCCTTCGTCTTCATTTTCGAACCTAGGTTAGCGACATCGATGGTAGTTCAGAAGTCGTCTTCTTCAATTTAGAGGCAATGACATCTTCAAACCTAGATCTACTACTTGGGTCAATGTGTTTGCTCTCTAGAAAGGCATATCTGAATTTTTTTTTCCAGTTTGGCTCTCTACGTTCAGTTCGACTTTGTTGCCTTTGCTTTAATGAAATGTGGATCCATGATTTTCCCTCTCTGGAAAGGCATATTTGCTTTGATAGTGAAAGTTGTGATGGGGGGAGAGGATGATGAAGAAGAAGAAGAGCTTCGACAGTGAAGCTTGTGGCAAGAGAGTGGATGATGATGAAGAAGAGCTTCAATAGTGATAAAGAAGATGAAGGCAATATCATTTTTTAGACTCTTTTTTTTTTGGAAATGACAGGAAAATTTATTTAAATTATCTCAATGGCATAATTTTTTTAGAGTTTCATGAAATTTTCTGTCATTAAGGAATTAAAAGAAATGATAAAATTGTTCTCAAATAAAACAAAAATCTCAAACCTTAACGCAGAGTAATTGGCGCACATTCTTACCTCTATTTCATCGTCTTCTTGATCTCCTCTTCTTCGTAGTTTTCTTTTGGTTCTTCTTCTACTTCTCCTTCCCTTTCTCCTTCCTTCTTCTCCTTCTGTTTGTCTTTTTTTTTTTTTGAGCTGCCGTACATCATCATCTTTTTTTTTTGTCGAGCTACTGTATATGGGTATATTTAAGTAATTATTCTTCCTCTATTAGCTCTGCTATACATGAATAAATTTCTTCTCCTCTTGAAAATTTCTCCTCCTATATGTAATAGTTAAAGTTAATGTGAGTTAATGTGCGTAAATAATTGAGGTCTTCATTTTCTCTTCAAGATTGAAGTCTTCATTTTTCCTACTGTATTTGGGTATGAATGCTTGCTCATAGATAAATGATAAATGATATATCATTTATAGTTGTTTTATAGATGGATAAACTAAAGTGTGAATAATTAATACAAAATTGTGACTATAAGAAGAATAGTTGTTGGATAAAATATAACAAATATGTGATCATGATGTTTGGGAAATATACGTGTTAATGAATGGCTATTTCATTATTTTATGTTGGTATAAGAAATGGCTCTTTCTACTTTTAGTTTTGGAAAGGAACTATTTTGTTATTTTTGCATAAGAGGACATTTTGTAAAAAATATTGAAGATAGAATACAATATGATTATGGGAGTGTGAGGGTAAGAATGATAAGAGAAGGGATGATATTTGAAGAATTTAAAATAATGGTATCTTCTTGTTTTGGCATTAACACTAATTTGAGTGACATGAAATCCACTATAAGATTTGATGAAGTGACCCTTATAGACCTTGTTAATGATGGTGAAATTGCTACCTTATTTAAGCACAATGTTAGAAACAATCATGTATATATAGGTTGTAAAGGAAATGGCAATGAAGAAACAATAATTGAGGAAGCACCAACATAAGTTACTATGTTAATTCTTCTAAATAAAGTTATCATTTGCTATAGGATAGTTATTATTTTAAGTAATTAAAGTTGTGATTGTCAACGTAAATGTAAATGACACATAAAGTTGGATGGACTATGAATGAAGAATGGAGCAATTCTTGTTACTTTCATATCCAAACTCTCCTTCGATTATTGAAGATCATGATTTTAAACATATAGCATTTGAAAGTAGTAGAGAATGTCTAACCTACCATACTTCTAGAAAATATCTAACATTACCATGTGGAGTGCAAAGTGCACCTATACCAATGCCAGATCTTAATTCTTCTTAGTGGAGGAATTTATTATCAATATAGGGCAGACCTTTCCCCATATTGAATCCTTTAGAAAAGCATTGTACAAATATAGCAATGGTTATAAGTTTCCATACAAATATAAGAACAATAAGATTTATCACTATTCACTATACCATTAACCAAGTCATACAAGCAAGACTTGTAGGAATCCTAATTCAAGCTAGGATATGATGTGGATATGACATCATTTTTGTGCATATTTTGTGAATTTAGCTGGTTTCTGTCTTGTACAGTGTGCAAAGATGGTTATAATTTTTTTGGATTGTGAATATGACGTGGCTAAAACATCTCATGTATAGAAAATTTAATCCTTTATATATTTTTGTTAAAAGAGTTGTAGGATATTTTCATGCAAGTTATAAATCATGTAACTGATAACAAAACTTTAGATAGTTATCACTTTTTAAGATTTTTTTACCATTTAAATTAATAAAAGTTGTTATTTGTTGGATTAGAGTGGTAATTCATTTTTGATGATTTAGTCAATTTACAGGGGGTACTAATAAATTACAATTTCTTGTTGTATTATTGCAAATTTAAGGATAAAAATTGTTAATATAGAAACAAAAGTTGTGAATGAAAAGTTGTGAATTTTCAACGCTTAAGCATATCAGACTTGCAAATGACTATTAAATTGTTATGAATTTAAAAATAAAAGTTTTTAATATTGGAACAAAAGTTGTGAATTTTTAATATTTGATGTATATCAAGACCTACAAATGTAGAGCTGTGAATGGTTATTAAATTATTGCGAATTTAGAAACAAAAGTTGTGAATTTATAAACAAAAGTTGTTAATATAGAAACAAAAGTTGTGAATTTTCAACATCTGATACATATTAGGACCTACAAATACAGAGTTACAAATGTCTATTAAATTATTGTGAATTTAGAAACAGAAATTGTTAATATAGGAACAAAAGTTGTAAATGATCAACAACTGATACATATCAAAACTTACAAATGCAAAATTACAAATGACTATTAAATTGTTGCAAATTTAAAAATAAAAGTTGTTAATATTGAAACAAAAGGTTATGAATAAAAAGTTGCAATTTTTTTAATTTGAATAAAGGGCAAAAGTGTGATTTTTTAATTTCCTAATGACAGAAATATCGCTTGGGACTCCAGGAGAATTATGTTATCTCATGAGACTAATATGTCATTTAGATAATTTAAAGGGATTATATTTTCATTTTTATTTTTTTTAAACTTGAGTCTTATTTTTTTGGTTACATGGTATACTAAATATGATTTTAAAACTTATTCTCACTCTCATTTTCACTACCAATCTCAATCTCAGTCCTTTAAAATTCAATACTTTGTATTAAATAGGGCCTAAATTTCTTCCTTCATAAAATTAAAGTACCATGCAACCAGTTGGAAAGTAATTAAATTCTCAAAATAGATGGAAGGAAGAATTTCAAATAAAGAGTAGGAATGTGATATAATTATTGGTGGGTCTAAAATTTTTTTGAATTAGTTCAATTCAGGGGGATAAAAGTAAAAATAATTTTAATAGTGAAAAGAGCAAAATATCCTTCACTTATTATATAAAATTACTAGTTATTAATTTTCTAATTTTATTTGTTAATTTACTAATATGAATTGTAAATTACGTGAGTTGATATGTCAATAATTATGTAAGATTTGACATCAATTGTTCAATCATAAGCAATAATATCAGTTGTTAAATTACTAACTTTACTTGTTAATTTACTAACATCAATTGTAAATTACCAATAGGTCCTGTAATTTACTAATATCAGTTATAAATTATTGACAAATCTTATAATTTATAATTAATATTAGTAAATCAACAAGTAAAATTAGCAATTTAACAATGATGTTATTGCCTGTAGACAAACAAATGTAATTTTGTAAGTGATATTGGTAAATTAACAACCATTGATTCTGCATAACAAGTGAATGATATTTTACTCTTTTCACAATTGAAATTATTTTTGTTTTTATCCCCCTAGACTGAACTAAAATTTTAAAATTTTTTGAGACCTACGAATAATTATGTCACATTCTTGGTCCTTATTTAAAATTTTCCCTAGATGGAAGGCTATTTTTTATTCATGATTTTGAATACATTTTTTTCAAATAAAAAATCTAGGGATAATGAAAATTTTAGTCTATCAAGTTTGTCTTAATTATTAATTTAATTTCTTAATTTTAATTTTTATTAATTTGGTTCCTTATGTTTTCTTAAATTATTATGTGAGTTCTTTAAGTCTTAAAACACAAATAGATTCTCAGAATAGTTTAATGTGTAAAATGTATTGGTGACTTGACATGTATATGAGGTTAAATGAGTAAAAGTTAACCTTCAAATTAATTTAATTTTTATCAATATAATTCATTATATTGGGTACCTCTTTTTTAAACAATAAAGATCAAATTAACAATCAAAGTAAAGTTAAAAGATTAAATTCATAAAAATCAGAGTTGCATTATCCAAATATATATATATAGTGATATTTTATTATTATTTTCAATATATTAATATTTTTAATAATATATTTTATTTATGCTATTATAAAATATAAAATTGGAGAGATAAAATAAAAATGATTATTTTATTATTTCACACCAAAAATAATTATTTTATTATTTGCTATGGTTGTGGCACAGTTTTTTTTTTATATTGAAAAAAAAGAAAAGGCAGAACAAAGAAGCACAAAACCAAAACCAAAAACCAGCAGCTTAACTAACAGCATCATTATTTGGCCCAAAAAAAAAAAAAAAACCTAATGGCCCCATGCTGAATCAGCTCCTCGATAAGAGAAACATGGACCAAACAGAGACCTATAGGTAAAGCCAGAGCTCTTTTTGTACCAAACGTATATATTATCATATAATCATTCCTTTGGGCATGGTATTATAATTTTGGTAACGCGGTGGGTCGTAATCTTAATGTATTACTTCTCCCGTGTCAAATTATAAAATATTCCTCCCATCATTTTTACTAACTTCATTAATATTAATATAAAAAAATAAAAAATAAAAGTATATTTAATTTTAAATATATCTCTATATAACAAATCAAAAAGTGATATAAATATTATTTTTTCTTATAAATGGTAATTTTAAAAATATATTTTAAATATTACTTAAAAAGTCATATCATAACTTATTAATGAGACTAAATGAACCTTTAAAATATGCTTTATAAATGAGATTGAAGGGAGTATTTTTAAAAGAATTCAGCATTTTAAAATATAAATATGTTTATGAAAATAATATTTTATTAATAAGACTCTTTTAATATTACCTTTTCTATTATGTTATCTTTCTTTAGTATTCTTTTATAAATGGAGCGTTGAATAAAATATATTCTTTAAAGTTTATATTTTTATTTTTTAAAAAAATTATAAAATATATTTAATGAAGTTTATTGATATATATAATTTTATTTAAAAATATCTTATAATTTAAGATAAAAAATGATAGCTATTAATTAGGTAAGAAAAACTCAATGCCTCTAGAGTCTATTTGATTAGAAGGTTGAGAGGAAAGATTTTAATAAATTTTATTTTTAAAATTTTTTTCCCTTTTAATTTTATTTTTTATTTTTTATGGCCGTGCTTTATTTAAAAAAAAATTAAATTCATCAGAAACCAACTCTGCCCCATTCCCTCAACCAGACATGTGGTATAGTTTTTTTTTATTTTTAACCTTGGGGTATAGGTTTCAAACTAAAGAAAAAAATATGTTAGAAAAATTATTTGAGTTTGATAATGCTTGAATTTAAATTAGTTGTGATTTGCCGATACTACTGAGTACTAAATATCTGATATTCGTTAAGACAAAATTTAAAGGAGAAAAAAAAGTGGGTAACAACTTGCATGCCCGGGACCGGATCACCGGACTCATCTTGTAATAAAATTAGTTTGGCAAGCAATTTAATGATGGTGAAAACATGACCAATGAACCATTATATGAATACTTTTTGTTTGGAAATCAGCCACTGTTATGATGCCACGCCATTACTCGTACGTGAAGGGCTGTTAGACAAGCACTTACTAGAGAGACGGGATTTGTGAATTGATTATTGGTATTTTTCTTTTAAAAAAAATGAAAAATAATTGTATGTTTAGATTTGCACGAGACTTTTAGCCTTATCCCGATCATGTCTGGTGTGAGGTTTATCAGTGAGGCCTTTTTAATTAATGGTCATGTCTGGATGGGATATAGCCTCCAATTAAATTTTACATATGATCAGGCTCGACTATGATGAACTAAATTATGGAATTTTATTGTCCAGAGAAAAAGGGGCAAGGATCTTGCTTCAGGTGAGAACATAATAAAAGAATAAAAACTAAAATTAATGTTGATTTTCAATGGTAGTGAATGGGGTGTGTGATGCATAATGGCATGTGTTGCGTTGGCCATTGATGATATGATATTCTCTTCGAGTAAGAGTGACGCAAGCCATGACGATACAAGTACAGTAGCTCTCCCCACGCCACCAAAGGCGGGAGGCCTGTTTGATTATGTTGATGAGATAAACTAGCTGCTTGTTTTTGGGAATTAATTAAGCAATGGCTGCCATGATTGAAGGTTTAATGATAGCGAGCCTGATTCCAGTCCAGGCGGTTTGTTGGTTTCTGCAGTCCATCAAAAAAACAAGACAAGCACAGATTAAATTAAAATCAATGACGATGTCCATGTCATCCGAGTGTGAAATGGTAGTGGTGCAGAAAAGGAAGGGCAGGCATTCAAACACGAGCCTTCCATTAATCCCCAATTTATTTATAAATTTTTTATCAACTTTTCAATATTAATATAATTATATAAAATTTTATATTAAACATAACCTTTAAAAAATAAATAAATTATATAATATTTTTTATTTTTCTTTTATATTTTTTTAAATGTAGTTTAAATATTTTATTTAAAATAAAATATTAGTATCAATTTAATGACGCATAGAATGAATTACTTTACTCTTCGGAGGGAGCATTACAGATTTCCATCGAGCTCTAGCATATCGATTCTATAGCAAGCGTAGTGCAGGGGGAGATGCACGCATCATTAACCGTGTCGTGATTTAATCAACATGAACAGTATGTGTAATTTGTGGGCTGACTGATTCAGCACAGCATGCCACGTCGTCAAAGTTCGGAGCTGAATTGTCTGATAATGGCAGTATCGTATTTGAGAATGCTAGCGAGAGAGGAAAGAGAAGGCAACTGAATGGGGTCAAGTCAAGAGAAGAGAGGAGCAAGTATTTGACTGTTTGTCGTGTTGATGAAAAGTTGGGCCATCAGTGATCAAATATTCAAGGTCCCTGCCACTGGTCACGTGTTTCGGGTCGACTCACTTCTCAGAGAATCAAAACGTGGAAAGGCCGAACACCGAATATTCCTCGGCATCTCTCTCCCCAACTTCGATAAATAGGGGCGTCCCCACCCCCAGCCCTCGCCGTCCCTATCCCTCAGCGCGCTCCCCATCGGCGGATAATGTGTGAGCAACTCAAAGGACAGTACCAGTTGTGCCAAGAGATCGGTCGCGGTCGGTTCGGCACCGTCTTCCGCTGCTTCCACCCCGCCTCTCGCGAATTTTTCGCCTGCAAGGTCATCGACAAGGGCCTTCTCACCGATCCCATCGATCGCCAGTGCCTCCAGAATGAACCCAAGTACATGGCTCTCCTCTGCCCTCACCCTAATATTCTTCAGATTTTCGACGTCTTCGAGGACGACGATTTCCTCTCCGTCGTCCTCCAGCTCTGTGAGCCCCTCACTCTCCTCGACCGCATCATTGATCGTCCTTTGGTGGAGACCGAGGCCGCTTCCGTATTGAAGCAGCTTCTCGAAGCGATCGCGCATTGCCACCGGCTCGGCATAGCCCACCGTGACATCAAACCCGACAATATTTTGTTCGATTCCCAGAACAATCTCAAGGTCGCGGACTTTGGGTCGGCGGAGTGGTTCGGCGACGGGGGGACCATGAGCGGGGTGGTGGGGACGCCGCATTATGTGGCGCCTGAGGTGCTGCTGGGAGGGCAGTACAACGAGAAAGTGGATGTATGGAGCAGCGGTGTGATACTGTACATAATGTTGTCCGGGATTCCGCCCTTTTACGGGGAATCGGCCGAAGAGATCTTTGAGGCTGTGTTGAGGGGTAATCTGAGGTTTCCGTCCAGGGTTTTCAGGTCCGTGTCTTCCGCCGCCAAGGATCTGATGAGGAAGATGATGTGCAGGGATGCATCCAGGCGATTATCTGCGGAGCAAGCCCTGAGTAAGTTTTATTTATCTCTCTTTCGTTTTGGTTTTAATTAACGGGGTGATTCTGGTTCAATCTTTTTGCCTTCCGTTTTCGTGTTTTGAGATCTGGATAATTAATAAGTAATTAATGGGCGATTAATGAAAGTGTATGCATTGGATGAGGGGTTCTTTTGATTTTAATGCTGATGAGAGGGTGGGTTTGCAGGGCACCCGTGGATCCTGAGAGGAGGAGAGGCCGCCGATCTGGCTTGAGAATTGGGGAACAGTTAAACAAATTTTGCCTCGGTATAGTCGTTCTCCGTCGCTCCCTCCGGCCATGAAAATTCCAACAAGATCCGCAGCGCAGAATCTCCGAAAACGACGGGCAGAGCCTTCAGCCTTGTAGATTCCGAAGCAGCTAGTTTCTCTTTTTTCTTTTGTTTTTGTTTTTATTTTAAATGTGAAGTTTCTGGAGATGTAGAGAAAAGGGGGGTTCCAGAGCATCTGGGCCTGAGCTGTAGATACACGTGGGTTGAGCATCCTGCTTTCCGGGTGTAAAATAGTGAGGAGGGTTTTGTAAAATAGGGAGCAGGGGCATATCCTATCCCACTCTGAAAGTAATGGGAGCCGTCTGGAATGTGAATGCTTTTGATCCTGTAATTCTCAATCTCTTCCTCCCTCCAAAGCCGCCTGCCCATGCCCATTTTTCTCCGCTGTGAACACAAATTAATTATACATATGTGATAAGATATGCACAAGAAGACGATGTGCTTATCAGGCGTTCCAACGGTTCCCCATCTTCGCTTCAAATATAAAAATTAAATTAAAACCCAATTTTTAGAATCGACACGGACGTCAAGTAATTCCCCAGTATTGGTGCAACGAATTGTTGGGTCAATTTCCGGTGTTACCATTCTACAAGTGTGTGCGGGGCCATTAATTTAATTTCCATATTTTGACCTCTTGTCGTGCCCTCTTTCTCATCTGTTGTCTGCTAGTGTTTTTTTTTTACTAGTATTTTATTATTTACGTTAAAATGTACTTGGAAATCCAAGGGGAGCTTCCTCCTTAACCTTGAAATCTACTTGCTCCGGGGGCTGTCCGCCAACATTAAATTCTACTCTCACCTCCCATTGCCAATAGATTCCGTATAAATTAAACTAAACATTTCATAATTAAATAAACATTTAAATCTTTATGTTACTTTTTTTTTTCTTCATGTGAAATACTATACTCCCTCCGTCCATATATAGATAAAAGTTATTTTTAATTAAATTACGTAAATCAATAAAATTTAATTATTCAATTAAAAGTACAATAATATTTTAAATTTACCCTTAATTATTGTAAATAAAAAAATAATTTTTTTAAAAATAAATTAATGAGAGTATATATGTTTTTTTTCTTTTTATTTAATAAAAATATAATGGTCCATTCATTAAAAAAATCCTAACAATACCTTATATTTAGGAATAAAAAGAAATTTTAAAATATTTTTATATGTAAAGGATAGGGAGTATGTTTTAAAATTGAGTGAAGATGGAATACTCCCCTTTAAAATATATATATATATATATATATATATAAGGGTTTGTTTTTAATATAAACAGGAATGCTCATTCAAAAGAATGTAAAGCCAGCGTACAAAAAAGACCCTGACAAAAAAGAACAAAAGGAGAGTTTGAGTTCCACTAATTTTAATCTTCTATTATATAATTAATAATATTTTTTTAAAAAAAATCAACAGGCTGTGACTGGTTGCACATGATGTCTCACGTTCAAGACCGCACGGTTGTATAAAACACCTTTGGAATAATTACCGTAACATCTTAAAAATTTTAAATAAAAATTCATCAAGGGTTGCATTAGAGAGGCTTATTAATTGTAGCCCAATTTGTTTAATTCAAAATTATACTTAAATTTAGAATTTCAAGCTTTTCAAGTGATTAATGAATTATGAAATTAAACCCCTCCTATCCACCTTCACCAATTATCTTTCAATAAAACTGTCACCAATTTTGGTGACTAATCATCAAGGTAGAGTCAACGGCGGTGGGCAGTGGCTGCCATTGATAATAATAAGGTGACTTTTTATTATTTTAAATTTTTAAAAAAATTCAAGCATTTCATGTGAAAAATTAATTTTAACTAAAAATAAATAAATTTAAAATCTAATTAATATAAAAGTGCTGAAGTAGTGCGGTGGTCTTTGGAGTCATATTCCCTCAGGAAAATAAAACAAAAAAAAGAAAGAAAGAAAGGAGGATATGTCACAATAACCAAGATAGCTGCTGTCGCACCATTCAGTGGTGGGCCAGTTGTGTACGAAATCCAGGGAGGCTGGGTAAATGCATAGAGAAAATGCACAGAAGGGGCCAAAGAATGCGGGGCGCGGAAGCTCAAGTTTTGACAATTTGTTAGGCAGCCTTGACTTGAGCTGTTGAGGGGTCACATGCATGGGGAGAGGAGGCCCCCCATCGTTGGACATGGAACTGAATTCAACGCAACCCCCGATAAGTTGCTGGAGTTATTTTCCGATATTCTCTCTCTGGAGGAATATCCGCGGCCATATATGGAGAGGCGGAGGGCCCCGCCTAACAGCAAAATGAAAAATGAGAGGCAGTATATTACCGGTACAATACTTATCTTTGTCACATATGACCGTGTCATTATCAAGTGGTGGTCCGCTGTCGCTATTTATTCGCCGGGTTGAAATTTCATGATTCAAAAATCGGCATGCGTGCATTGCAAGTTTCTATGAGGAGGATTTCTTCTAGAATGCGCTGGACACGTGTCGCAGACGCAGAGGGAGTGGTGCCCGTGTACGGAATTGCGATAACTTATCTCCCCCAACGTTCTTAATGCAATCAAGAGAAAATGGGCAGAGCAAAGCAAAATTCCTTCGTGTATTCGCCGCATCTTATCTCAATTGCCATGCTGCCCATGGCCAGAGATGGAAAAGAGGCAGGCTCAGCCTTGAAGGCTCAAACTCTTAAACTTGTTTATTAAAAAATATTAATTTTTAAAATTTAACTCTTATTTAAAAAGTTTAGAGTCACCTCCATAAGCCAATTTTATTTTTTTAAATAAATTTAATAAAATAGATAAATAGAAATACAAATATAAAATCTTAATTAAGTTTTAAAATGAAAATAAAAATTTTCAATTCAAATCAACCTTATAAAAACTTATGTATTAATGAAAACCAATAAATAGATTGTATAAAGTAATCATGTTTGAGTAATTAATAACAAATTTGTAAATATCATGTTAAAATAAATGGTAAAAAAAGCCAATACTAATTATTTTAATAACACAACACAAAGAAAACTCATTGATCTTTTCGCTGGCTAGCGTCTCATGGGAGCCTATTGACAAAGGTGGCTCGAGAGAATCATGGGATGACATTAGATACGTCTTGTTTCATCTGCAAATATGACACTGAAGATTCTTCACATGTGCTTGGGGATTGCCCAAATACTTTTCAACTTTGGCACTCATTGGTTCCCCTTAATAAACAACGTCCATTCTTCACATTACCTTTATGTGATTGGTTTAGTTGGAATATTTCTTAGAAGTAGTGGCTTATGGATGATAATGAATTGAGTCATGTTTTTTCGATGGTTTGTTGGAAGATTTGGCATAGACGAAATGAATACATCTTTGAACAGCATAAAATGCCCAATGCTTTTGTTGTGTCAAGCTCAAAAGCTATTTTACGTAGTATGAAGACTTCTCTTAAGAACCTTATTAGTGATCATCACGAGGTCAAGGCATCGTGGATCCCTCTTGAGCATGGGTGGGTGAAGGTTAACGTAGATGAGGCATTCTCCTAGATCACTAATAGTAATGCTTGTGGCGGGTTGATCAGAAATCCTAAAGGGGTCTTTTTACAAGGCTTTTATTGTTGACTTAATGATGGAGATGCTCTTTTGGTTGAAATATGGGCGTGTCTTCATGGCTTGAAACTTGCATGGGATATAGGATTTAGAAAGATTGATCAGGAATCTGATTCAGTTGACGCTATTGAGTGTTTACGTCATGAATGCAATCCCTTACATGCAGATGCTGGGATCAGTAGTGAAGCACAGTCGTTAATTCACCAAAATTGGGAGGTTAAACTCTGCCACGTTTGATGTTAGACTAATTGTGTTGCTGACTCACTTGCACAGTATGGTATGCATGCAATGCCTGGGTTTTACCATATGAATTAGGTGCCTGAGGATGCTGCTCGTTTTTTAGCTTCGGACTTCTCCCCAACTACTATTAGTAGGCGTTAAGCTGGTTTGGGTTTTGTTTTGTATAAAAAAAACCCATTGATCTTTTCAAAAATAGAGTTTGAAGGGTAGTAGGAGCCTCAATCATTTTTTTAGGACCTATTAGGGTTAGGTTTAGAAGTTCCATTTCTCAAAAAATCACTAATTTTTTAAGTCTGAACCTTTATCTAAATAAGATTTTTAAACCCAGCCTTTCAAATCCGGCCTATATTCTCAACTCTACCTGTGGAGGCATCTTAACAACAGCATATCCTTAACTAATCCTCCTCTCTCTATCTTCCCCCTTCTTTCATTCCCCTCCCCTTTTTATATACATCCTTCATTAAAAAATGTAAGGTATTTTTTAAGAAGTTAAATGTTTAAAAATGTAAGGCATTGTTTTTAATTTTTTGAAGTGTAATTATTACCTTTTTTTTTAAGTGTGCATATTGATAATAATTTTATATTTATTGTAGGGTGTTTAATGGGGACAAATATGAAAAGATAAAATTAGTTATAAAATAGATAATTACTTTATTAAAGAATAAAATTTAATTAAAAATATTTTATATTTTTAAATGGGGAGAGTATCTATGAACGCCTCCTTCCTCGACATTTCCATACTTTACAACCACCAGGATTCTGATTCCTCCAAACTCAATTCCCTCGCAACAGTTTCAATGTGAAAATCTCGGAACATGTCGATTTTAAAATTAAAAAAATGGCATCTGTCTTATAATTAAGACGTACGATAAGCTCTCTGTGCGCAGCGCGCGTATCACATGACCCCTTTTTCTCTGCATGTGAATGCGCGTGTTACGGCTGCCCCCTGATTCCACTTTTAATTAAATAAATAAACCCAAACTGGTCGAAACAATTCGGGCTTTCTTCCACTGCGCTACAGCTTATTCCGCATTTCTCATTGGAAAAATATCAATTAGAGAAATTTATATTAATTAAAAGTTATTTATTATTAAAATCTGATTAAATATTTATTAATTTAAATTAATCTTTTATCAGCAATTATTCATTTAAATTTTAACAATAACACATTTTACATTAATAACAGCTCATTCATATTTGTCTTTCATTTTAGTTTTGATAACAACCTGTCTTTAATTGATATAATTTTTTTTTCTAGCAGTTCTTAATTGTTATTTTTTATTCCTTATTTTTATTTATTTTTTTATTTTTTTTATTAAAGAAAAAAAGGAAACCAAGCTCCCGAGCTTCAAATTCGCCTTCTTTTCTAAAGTCAAAGTACAGCTGTTGAAAATGTCAGATACATCAGTAACTTAACACTGCAGTGGCTTAAAACTAACATGTTCTCACATCATCATGGATGGGCAGCCAAAAGTTTGGGGATAATTTTATTCATTAAGAACATGGGAATGGGTGATCTCA